AGAGAGGCATAGCTTAGCCCCTTAGCCTCTCAGCCTCTCAGCCACCCTCTCTGCTAGTTTATAAGGCCCTTGGGCCTAGTTAGTTCCTCATTATTCAGCTGCGGGTTCATTCCTTCCGACGCTCGACAGCGCGGCCTTCGGCCGCGCGTGAGGGGTGGCAAGAAACACACAAAACAAGCAACTATAGGCATGCATACACGCATGCCACACACCACATTAGCCTAGGCGAAGCATGGAGCAAGAGGAGCCCACATCCACAAGCGGTGGGCTCCTGGGGCACGCGGACGCTATATCTGATCCACGTCCCGGTCCTCGCGAAACGACGGTGCGGGGCGAGGAAGGATTTCAGCGCCTTCTGTCACGGGCTTCGGAGCAGGCGGCGTCGGGGAGCCCGTCGGCATGGTCCCCGTTCCGGAGGCAGGCGGTGGCCTTTCGTACGCAGCCGACACAGCGCCAACGCGCATTGGCGAATAGTCGGTCGGCCCAGAAATCACCATCGAGGGGCCGAGGAGGGCGAGGCAGAGGGAGAGTAATAGCTAGCGGCGTAGGAGGTGGACCCGAGAATGGCTTCCAAGCGGCAGGGCGTCGGGCTTTAACAGCTCTGGAGAGAACTAATGAAGAGGAGGAGCGAGGGGATCCTTCTTATAGGGAGGAGCCTCTCCCACTAAGTGAAGACGACGAGGAGGAAGCCGATGAGGCTGGGAGGCTAAGGACTGAGATGCAAGCTGGTGAGCATGAGGCGGGCGAGGAAGGAGGAATGCATCAAGTTCATCGGACGGCTACGATCCCAACTCCTGGACAGAGCGATGCACCGAGGCGCGCGCAGGGGAATCAGGCCGCGCGCCCTGGCAGTGCGTCAGTAAATCAAGCACATTTCCCCCGCTACTTCTTGCCAGATGAGTTAGCGAAGCGAACGGACCTGTTCGCAGCCATCGATGATTGGGATTTGGCGGCCCTATGCGACAGTCGTCAGCCATCCCTGTCGCGCCGATTACCGCCCAATTTGTGTCAGCTGTTTTCGCTGGTGTTACTCACCCCGCTTCTTCACCTCGCGCGAAATCCGGACTCAGTCGCAGGTTGGCGACTGCTGCTGTTTCTCCCTCGGCTCACACTTCGCCAAACATCGCCAAGAAGACCGAAGTGGCCCGAAGTCAAAGCCCGCCTACGAGCTTTCCAACGTGGCAAATGGGGGCAGCTGTACTCTGACGCGATCGAAGCCATCAACACCCCACCGCCTCCACGTCACCAGCCTGACGAGGCGGGAGTACTCAGCAGGGCGGAGGGCCTGGCCAAGCGAGGAAGTCTGCGCCGAGCCGTGCTGGCCCTCGAGTCAACCCCAGTCTGCACGCCTGGCCCAGCAGTTTTGGATGAACTTCGCGCGAAACACCCGCGGGCCGTCGACGAGCAGCTGAGCTGGCCAACAACACCTGGCCCGAACCAACAAATCAGCCAGGCCGATTTCTCCAAACTTCTGGGATGGTGCGAGAATGGGGTAGGGACCGGACCGTCCGGAACCACATTCGAACACCTGCGCGACGCATCTGCAACCAACGCATCGGTCTGCACCCATCTGCATGCCCTAGTCAACACCATCATGACAGGCAAATTACCCGAACCAGTGGCAGACCTGCTGACAGCATCACGACTAATCGCGCTGACCAAGCCAGGTGGGGGGGTTCGACCAATTGCAATTGGCGAATGCCTGACGCGGCTTCCAGCCAAGGCAGCTCTGACCGCAATTGGGGAGGCTGCACGTAACCACTTCTTGCCACTACAGTATGGGGTGGCGGTACCTGGGGGAGCCGAGGCAAACATCCACGTCGCACGTGCCTTCGTTGACTCGAGGGAGAGCTGCGTGGTGTTACAGACCGACATCTCAAACGCCTTTAACAGTATTTCACGAAAGGCAATCCTCGACGGGTTACGCGACACCAGCCTTTCGCCTGCCCATAGCGCGTTACCCTGTTCATAGTGCCCTACCCTGCCCATCGCGTAGCCCTGCCTTGCCCGAGCCCCGCCCTACTGGCTGCCGCGCCGCCTTACCCTGCCCGCGCGCCACCCTGGTGGCTGCCGCGCCGCCCTGCCCTGCCTGTGCGCTGCCCTGCTGGCTGCCGCGCTGCCCTGCCCTGCCATCGTGCCGCCCTGCTGGCTGCCTCGCTCCTTGCCCTGCCCGCCGCACCGCCCTGCTGGCCGCGCGCTGCCCTGTCCTGCCCGTCGCGTTGCCCTGCTTGCCGCGCGCCGCCCTTTGTTGCCTGTCGCGTCACCCTAGGGCCCGCGCGCCGCCCCTGCCTGGCCTGTCGCGTCGCCCCAGTGCCCGCGCGTCGCCCTGCTCGTAGCGTGCCGCCCCGTCCTGCCTATGCGCCGCCCTGCCCTGGCCGCGCGCCGCCCTTGTGAGGATCTAGGATCGAGCTCAGAAAAGATGATTTTAATTGAATGATCACCTAGGTACAACACGAGGCTATATATAGGCTCGACACAAGGCAGGTAACCCAGGTGTTACGCGAATGTTCCGAGGGTCGCGAAGCGTCCCGAACAGAACCTTCCCGAACTCGGTAGAAAGCAATTCGGTAGCAACTGAATAGCTTGAGTTCGGTACACGTATCCTGGTTCGGTGCCTATAACAACAATAACTATAGTAAAGCAACGAACCTAGGAAATCAAGCAATTCATGCATGCAGAAAATAATCCTAAGCTAGTAATAGCGTAATGGCATAAAGCAAGCATGCATGGCTGGCATAAGCCGACGTACTCTCACACGTCCCCCCCTCAAAGCTGGGTGGCGTGAGATACACCCTGCTTGACAAGATGATCATTGAGAGCACGGCGTGCGTTGCCCATATCAGCTTCTGCAACCCAACAGTCCTCAAAGGGTCGTATCCCTTCCAGCGTATCAGGAACTCGAGGGTCTTGCCGCCGCGGCGCCGATGAGTGAGAACACGCTCGATCTCGTACTCTGGTTCATCCTGCACAAGTACAGGTGGTGGTGGCGGTAGTTGCCGTCCCTGGAACTGTTGGTTGGGGTCCTTGTAGGGCTTCAGTAGCTGAACATGGAAAGCGTTGTGAAGCTTCCACGTATCTGGTAAGCGCAATCGAAATGTAACTGGTGTCACCTGTGCCTCCACGAGAAAAGGACCACAGAAGCGAGGCCAGAGTTTGGATGGTAGGTGAGACAGGTTCAAGTTGCGCGTGTCGAGAAGCACCTGATCTCCGACTGTTACTGAGTGATCTCGTCGCTGATGATCTGCATACTGCTTCTGGGAGTTCTGCATCGTGGTGAGACGCCGCTGAGTCTTCTCCCATAGCTGCTGCATGGTGGTGACGAAGTCGTGTGCGGCTTGGACGTGTGCTGGTGTGGTTGGTTGCTGTGGGGTGAGTGGTTCCCATCCGTAACACAGGAAGAAAGGAGTTTTCCCTGTGGCCGCATGCGAGGCGTTGTTGTAAGCGAACTCTAAGGTCGGTAACTGTGTGTCCCAGTGGCTGATGTCGTCTTTGCAAGCTGTGCGCAGTAATTGTTCAACCACCTGATTGAGTCGCTCTGTCTGTCCGTCAGTCTGGGGATGGTATGCTGAAGACATCGCAAGCTTAGTCCCCAACAGTCCCATAAGCTCCTTCCAGAACTTACTCGTGAATTTTGGGTCTCTATCTGAGATGAGTGTAGCGGGGATGCCGTGGATGGTGATGATGCGGTCGAAGAAGAGTCGAGCAGTTGCTTCAGCTGTAGCTGGGGCCCTGAAAAAAAAAAATAACGATCTTGGAACAGGACCTGCTCTAAAATCATGTCAGAATACTGAACGAGAATGAATGCATTCAGGTCAAGACTGTGTACAAGTACAACCCTAATTAAGTTGTACCCCTTTATGGGCTACCCCACTATAGCTTACACAACAAAAGTGTTATGATATTTTTACATAAATCCCTTGTACCGCAATGTAATCGTCAATTTTTTCGATAATTAAATCTCCTGTCATGGTCCGTACCCAACTCCACTAGCAACCTTTCGCTGCTACACTACTGTGCGATCAACCTGAGACTATCCTATAAGTCAAACATTTCAGGTTGTAACAAGATGGGTTAAAGAAACATTTTTTTAAAAGCCATATGAATAAAAATGTATGCCTGATAAATAGACCATCAAAACATATTGATATGATAACAAGGTTCTTGGAGCAATATTACTGATACATGACACGCATTGCAATTGTAGATGAACTTAAAGATGGGGCGAGATCTACGTGACGCTATAGCGAGATTTTGAGGCAGGTTCGGAAGCTCGTGACTGCTGGCTGAGCTCCGCGCCCGCGAAACCGATCACCGAGCCTACATCCACCGTTTGGGACTCCGCAGCCTGTTTAGGAGGGGACAGTTACGTTTCTCTCGGTCCGGTATGGTTGAGAGGCACTCCGATTGGATTAGGTGGAGTCCTCTGGGACTGTACAGGAGATGTTTTACTCCCTCCCACTAATAGCACTGCCCACTAGTTCTAGAGCAAGATAGTCCGCGAATTGTGGCTTTGAGTCGAGGTTTTAGTGCCGTGAAACGCGAGCGAGAAGTCAGTAGCGTGGGTACTGCGTGGTTGCATCAAAGGAAACGCGTTTCGCGCTCGCAATGCGTGTGCAGCGGGGATCAGCGTGGGCGTCGCGACACCAATGACCGCGCACTGGTCGTGCAGCAACGCATAATCTTTCGCCTTGCGAACCGATGAATTCCGCAGCTCACGCGTAGCGCTCAAACTCTTTCGTCGCCCCGAGCGCGATTGTAGACTCACCGGGTCGAGCAGAGTCGCAGAAGAACTCCTCGTCTCTTCGGCATCCACGTCAGCATCTAGGGTTGCCGCACGTTCGAGTCGCGCATGAGCCAATGGCCACTCGCGCCCGCCCTCGCATTCCTAGACGCGTTAGGTGATCCGTGAGCCGATCCGAACCCATTCCCACCGCCTACCCCCTCTTCCCTAACCATCAATACCCGCATTCCCCGCTCCCCTCGCCTTCGTCCCTTCCGCCATGCCGAGCCAATCCCGGGGGCGGCACGTCGCCTCGCCGTCCGCCGCCCCCTCCCGCGCGGGCGGGCGCGCGGACGCGCAGTGGGACGCGCACTGGGACCCGCCGGCGTTCCGCCGCTGGCTGGTGGGCTTCGCGGCGGTGCGCTTCGACCTGGAGCAGGGCCAGCTGGTGGAGGCGCTGTTCCCCGCGGGCGCGCTGAGCGCGGAGGAGGAGGCGGACGTGGCGTTCTCGTCGTTCCCCGACTCCATGTCCGCCGTGCACTCGCGCGCCTCGCTCTACGACTGCCTCTTCTTCTTCCGCATCCGCCGCCGCGGCGTTCCGCCTGCCCTCGCCGCCACGAGCGCCGGAGGCGCCGGCGGGGTTGATAACGGCGCGGGTGGCAGCGGCGACGGCGCGGCGGAGGGGGCTGGGCGGAGTGCGCTCGCCGCGCAATCTCCGCTGCTGCAGCGGCAGCACGCGCACGCTAGTGTCGGCCGGGGGGCAGCAGGGGGAGCAGCCGCGCGGGCGACCAGTCGGGCGGAGCGGTCCGCCGCGTCCTCGCGGAGGCAGTCCGCCAGCCCGCCGCGGTGGGACCCGGGAACCAATCGCGCGACGACACCTGGCACGACGCCGCGGCGAGGCATCAGCGTGGGGTACGGCGGGGGCCCGGGGGGGGCGATGGCGGAGAGCATCAGCGCGCCCGCCTCGTCGCTCACCAGCCCCACGGGGCTCGCCGCCGCCGCCTCCCCCTTCGCGCGCCTCGACAGATGCGCCACTGAGCCGCTCGCGGGCGGCGAGGCGGGGGACGAGGCGGAGGTGCAGTGGCGCGCGCAGGCGCAGGCCGGCGCGCTGAGACACTCCGCCAGCGCGCGGGGGAGCGCGGGGGAACGAGAGGAGGAAGCGGCGGTGGGCAGATCCGCGTCCATGGGGGCGGGGAGGCGCGCCATGCCCGCGCACAGCCAAGACGACGACGACAGAGGGGGGCACGGGGGGTCCGGGGGGGCAGCAGCAGCAGGGGGCGCGGGGAGGGGCGGGGCGCGGTACGTGTACGGGTTTGTGTTCAACCGGCAGCGGCACGACGCGCGGCTGCCGCGGGGCGGCGAGCAGAAGTCGGTGGTGGTGCTCTCCGAGCGCCCCTTCTCCGCCGCCTTCCGCCGCCTCGCCCAGGTCGTCGGCCCGCTCTACTTCGACCGCGGCCCAATCGCCTTCGTCCAGGTGGCCGCCTGGGTCTCGCTCTGGCCCGCGCCCTACCAGCCCAGCGTGGCGGGCGGTGGGGGCGTGGGCGGGGCGGCGGGGGCGGGCGGCGTGATGGAGCTGGCGGTGGGGCCGCGCACGTCCCTGCGCGTGCAGCTGCCGCCCGCCCACACGCTGCCGCCCGCCTCGCACTCCGCGCTGGACGACTTCACGGCCGCCATGGCGCCCGCCCCCCTCTCCACCTCCGCGCCCCAGGTCAGCCCGCCGCGCAGGTGGAGCGCACCACACTACACACATTCCGCACTTGCCCTCCAGTTGCTGCTGAGCCCACTCCCACACTTAACCTCCCCACTACGAACCCCCTTGGCCCCTCCATTCATCCCCTGTGTTATGCCAGGCACAGCACCACGGGCAGCACAGCATAGCCCGCATCCCCCCCCACACACACCACTTCACTTCACCTCCCCGTACTCGTCACCGCACACCCTCCACTCACCATCCTCCTCACCCCGCTGTTCATCCACCCTCCTTACCCCCCCATGGCCCCCCTCGTCTGCATGACATATTCCACCATCCCTCACCCTCCACACTGCCCTCTTGCTCCCCCCTCCTCCCACTCTTCTTTCTCCCGCTCCTGGACCCACGCCCCCATTCACCTTCCCCACTACCACCCACCATCGCCCCTCCATTCCACGTTATTTACCTACCACCCAAGTCCCCTGTTGCACCGGCCCCCTCCCCCCTCCCCCAGGGCATATTCCACGACGCGGACGTGTTTGGCGTGCTGAGGGGCGTGGCGGCGCAGCTGTGGGTGCTGTGGGAGCTGCTGCTCTTAGGCGAGCCGCTGCTGGTGATCGCCCCCACGCCCGCGCAGTGCTCCGAGGCCGTGGCGGCCCTCGTGGGGCTCATCGCCCCCCTGCCGTGCTCGGTGGACTTCCGCCCCTACTTCACCATCCACGACCCCGACTTCCCCGCGCTCAACGCGCTCAGGGACGGCGACCCGCTGCCCGCCGTGCTGCTGGGCGTCACCAACCTCTTCTTCCTCAAAGCGTTGAAGCACCTGCCGCATGTGCTGTCGGTGGGCCGCCCTCCGCACGGCGGGCAGGGCGTGGCGGGGGCGGCGCGGTACGGCGTGGGGGCGGGCGGCAGCTTGCAGCCCAACGGGCAGGTGGCGCTGAGGGACAGCGCGGGGCGCCTGCCACACCAGCACCAGTCGCCGCTGCGACGCCTCGCCACTGGCGGGCTGCTCAGGTAGGGGGGTGGGGGGCGGGGAGCGGGGGAGGGTGTGAGACATGGTCAGGCAGAGCAGACTGCTGAGGTGAGGCATGGTGCTGAGGCTGGCGGGCAGAGGTGCTGTGTGCAGGGCTGCTTTGGCTGCGGGGCAGATAGGGTGCTGGAGTGGCGGGGCAGCAGCAGCCCGTGCTGCCGTGGCTAGCAGCCCGTGCTGCCGTGGCTAGCAGCCTGGCTGGCGCGGTGCATTCAACTCCCCACCCGTTGGCCTGTGTGTGCTATCAGGCTGTGGAAGAAGCAAGATTCAGTCCAGTCAATGTTGTCTTACTCCTTTCCCCTCCTCTCCTTACTCCCCCCCTCGTCCATCCCCATTCAATTCCATCCATCCGCACCCACGCCCATCCACGCCCACCCACGCCCACCCACCCACACCCACGCCCACCCACGCCCACCCTCGCCCCACCCGTGTCTGCTGTGCCGTGGCAGCATGCTGGCGGCGGGCAGCAAGGGGTTGGCGCGGATGAGGGGGGAGGGGCCGCTGTCGCTGATGGGGGAGCACAGGGAGGCGCTGTGGACCAACCACGTGCCGGCAGTCAAGCCCGACACCGCCGTGCTCAACCGCCTTCTCGACGCCTCCACCACTCTGCACCCCTCCGCATCCTCCCGCTCCCACCGTAGCGGCTCCGCTGTCACGAACGCTGCTGCCTCGGCTGCCCCCGCTGACGCCACCTCGCTCGCCTCTTCTGCCGCCGCTGCTGCTGCAGGGGCGGCAGCAGGAGGGGGAGCGGGCGGCCGCCCTGCATCGGCGTCCGCCCCGCCCTCCACGGCGTCGTCTCTCTTCAGCCTGCCCGGCGCCGTGGCCGGCTCGCTGCTGGCGGGCGTCACCGGCATGCCCGCGCTGGACGATGCTGCAGACGGCGGCTCGGGGGGCGCAGCAGGGGGAGTGGGGGGGCGGGGGGCAGCGGGGGTGAGTGGGGAGACGGTGGCGATGGTGAACAACGAGGTGCTGCGGCGGCACTTCATTGAGCTCACCACCAACTTCCTCGCCCCCTTCGGCCCCTTCCTCCGTGCCGCCGCCCCCCCGCCCGACGCCTCGCCCTTCTGCGAACCGCCGCCGCTGCCGCCCTTCGACGCCGCGGAGTTTCTCGGGCAGCTTGCCGCGCGCGGGCCGGGCAAGTTCCTCGCCAAGCGGCTGCAGGCGGGCAGGTGGCTGGAGCTGTACAGAAGGTTCCTGGAAGGTCCGAACTTCATGCCGTGGTTTCAGCGGCGGCGTGCCGTGGCGGAGGCGGAGCAGCACCGGCTGTGGCGGGCGGCACGGCTGCGGGCGGACGTGAGGAAGGCGGTGGGCGCCATGGGCGAGGCGGACCTGGTGGAGGCTTTTCTGTGCGTGGAGCGACACATGGTGGTGGAGAGCCAGGTGAGGCATCTGAGTGGGTTCTGTGCGTGTGCGTTTGTGGTGTGGCGTGCGGGTGGTGTGGTGGGTGTGTATGTGCGCATCTCAGCATAGTCACTCATGCTTTTTCAAGCCCAGCCTCACCCATGTGACGTCCTCTTTCCCTCTTCTGCCTTGCAACCCCCGGGAACGGTGTGTGTGTGTGTGAGGGCATGAGCAGGCGTGGAGGCGGGCGGGCGAGTCCCCAGCAGTTAGTAAGCTGAGGGGCGACCTGCGAGTGCTGTGGGCGCACATGCCGCCCGCCTCGCAGCGCCTGCTGCTCCTCTCCCCCGCCCACGCCGCCTCCCTCCACCTGCCGCCCTCCGCCGCCCCCCATGATGCCGCGCGGGGCTCGTTGGCGGTGTCTGGGAGTGGTGAGTCGGGAGAGGGCCGGTGGGGGCAGCGGGCGAGTGAGGGCGCGGGGACTGGCAGGGAGGGGGCGAGTGGAGGGGGGGCGGCACAAGGAGCAGCGGCAGCGGCAGGGGGGAGGGGAGGGGGGTGGGCTGGTTGGCTGTTTGGGAGGAGGAACGTGGAGAGCACGGGGAGTGGGAGCGGTGCGGGGGAGAGGCAGGTGACAGCAAGCAGTGATGCGAGGGGGGGAGAGGAGGCAGCAGAGGCAGGGCGGGGAGGGCCAGCCGAGACACCTGGGGCTGCTGTGCCTGGTTCTGCTTCTGCTGGCGTGGACCAGGGCGTCGCCTCAGGTGATCTTTCAGGTGATTCTTCCGGGGTTGTGGGCAGCAGTGGGGAGCAGAGCGGGACAGTGGAGATGGTGGAGGCAGCGCAGCACCTCTCAGCGCTCGTGGCCAATCTCAGCCTGCCACCTGTCATCGCCCTCAACGGCGAGTCACACCCCTCGTCCAACCCTGGCAAGGCCTGGTCTGAAGCGTCCAGCCCTCCCCGAGGCTCCTCTGCAGGCTTGGGCCGAACCTCAAGCGGTGCTTCTCCACGAACAGCGGGGATAGGGTGGGGCACAGACATGTGGGACGGCAGCAGCGGCAGCTTAACCAGCAGCAGCGCGCGCAGCAGCACGCCGGCCCACCGTGCCACCACCACCCCCAGCAGCAGCGCCATGGGCAGCAGCACAGGGCACGTGGCGAGTGCGCGCTTCGCGGTGTCCCCCGTGGTGCCGTTTGGCCGCCGCCCCGGCCTCTCCGTGGGGCGCACACCGCCACGCCTGTCGTCCTCCGCGCCCGGCACGCCCCTCCACCCCGCCCCAGGAGGGGCCTTCCTGCACGCGCGCCCCACCCCTGCTCAGGCCACCGCCCCGCACCAAGGGGCGAGGCACACGGCCGGGGGAGATGCACGGGGGCTCAGCGGCGAGCGGTTGAGTGCGTGTGCGAGTGCGAGGGAGGAGGTGGGGGGCGGAGGCATGGGGGAGATGGAGGGCGGGGGGGAGGGCGGGGGGGTGAGGGTGGCACGCACGGCCACAGAGCCCGTGCTGCCCTCGTCCTTCCATTCCCTCGCTTGATGCGCCGCCCTTGCCTCGCCTCGCGCTCCCAACCCAAGGTCTTTCCAACCGTGCGTGCTGTTGCTGGCGCTCGCTCGCTCTCAAAAGAGAGATGCATGATTTATTGCCTTGGCTAGAGGTTGCGCAATACGGTAGAGCATCAGCTGTGATGTGAATGCATGTATACAGGAGCACAGAGAATGCTGAGATGCTTGCTGTGCGTGTTGCCTCCTGTAAGACGCACAGCAGTTTTTGGGAGTGTCTGATACAGAGGTGGGAGAGGGCGGAGCTGTGGAGGTGGGAAGGCAATGGCTGCAGGGAAAATCTTGCATTTCCATGTGCCTCCGTAGCGCATTGAAAAATTATTCCTACCTTCACCTTTGGAATTCTGATGAGCTCCACTACCTTCTGGTATTTTCAAGTTCGATCCAGCGAATTTCAATTTTCAGCTGCCAAGAATTGCGTAAGGGTCACTAATAGTCTGTCCTTGGTTCCCGTACCCCTTGCTCATATGTGGTCTGAATCTAAGTTTGCTAAGATAGATCTTACTTCAACCAAATAGAACCTGAAGCTGCTCCTAGCGCGTACGGCAACTTCACCACCACCACTGCTACAATTCCGCGAGCAGAAAAAAAGGCCGACCGCTGCGCGCCCCCACACGATCTCCCTCTGCCGTCGCACCACTCCGCGTCGCCGCCAGCAGCATCACGATCTGCGCCCCCATCGCCCCGCACAGCGCCTTCCCCTTTCCGCCTTCCCGCCGCCTTCCCCGCGATCCCCCGATTTCGCAGCTCCAGCCGCGAGGAGCGCGCGCGGCGCGATGTCGTTTATGCGCGGCGATCTGCTGCAGAAGGCGCGGCTGCTGATGCGCGGCGGCGTGGTCGACCCGCCCAAGTGGCTCGACGCGCTCTCCAAGTGCGTGGGGAGGGCGGATGGCGGGGATTGAATGGGGGGAGTGAAGGAGAACGTGGGGGTGGGGGGAACAGTGGTTGCGGAGGAAAGGGAGGGGGGAGTTGTGAATCCGCCGCCATCTGGGGACACGCATGGGGCGCCGAGGTAGGAAGTGGGTGAGTGCGCGGTGCAACAGGCGGCTTCCGCGCAGACAGCCACGCGCGGACGGACGGCTGAGCTGCTGCCGCGGTTATGACCATCAGTGCGGCGGCGCGGCAGCAGTGCGGCCTCCCCGCGAGCTCGCCCCAATCAACAGGACGTTGTGGGAGAAGCATAAGCTTCCCTTCCTCCCGCCACTCCCGCCAGGCATAAACTGCCACCGCCCCTGTCAAAGCATTGCGCCCCCCCCATCAGTTAGAATGGAAAAAACCTCATCACCCCCTGGTTCCTCGCAAATCCATTTCTCTCATCCCTCCTCCCTCCCCTCGCCTCAACCCTCCCACCCCCATCCGCTTCTCCCCTGCGCCTCTCCCCCCCGCGCCCCGCAGAGTGCCCCCGCAGCCCAAGGCGCGGCGCTGCCCCAAGGCGAGAAGGATAGAGTTTCCAGAGGACCCACTAGTGGAGTCGTATTACGCAAGACACCCCGAGGCCAAGCTGCAGGCGTACCGGTGAGCCGCTGCAACAAGCCTCTGCTGTGCCTCCCTTGCTTCCCGTGCTTCTACCTGCTTCTCTCACTGCGTACTGGCCCCCACCACGTCACCCCATCTCAACCCATCTCACCCCACGTCACGCTTGTCACCCCATGTCACTCCATGTCACCCCATGTCACCCCATGTCACCCCATGTCACCCCATGTCACCCCATGTCACCCCATGTCACCCCACGTCACCCCTTGTCACCGCATCACACCCATGTGGCAGGCTGCAGGGCTTTGACCCGCCAGTGGCGCGGCGGTTTGCATGGCGGCAGCTGGAGCTCATGCAGCACCACGGGCTCTCCAAGCGCCAGGCGAGAGATGCCGTGGAGGTGAGGGAGTGATGTGCGGTGATGTGAGGCGATGTGCGGTACTGTGAGGTGCTGTGAGGTGCTGTGAGGTCTCACGTAGAGGTGATGTGGAGGTGATTGAGAGGTGATGTGCTATGCGTGGCAGCATGTGGGTGCAGCAGTGGATGGCGAGGGCCGCTGTGGTCGTGATGCTTCTCCACTCCACTCCCTCATCCTCGCCTCCCCCTCCTTCTTCTTCCGACCCCGTGCTTGCATTGCATCAGCATCTCTTTCCTGTCTCAGCATGTCTTGTCGTGTTGGGCTTAACCCCACTCATTCCTCCATGTTCCCCTGCTTAGTCTCCTGTGTCCACTCTGTGCCTGTCCACTCTGTGCCTGTCCACGCCAACCCAACTGCCGCTACACTTCATCTGCTCACCGCTTACCCCTCTCCGCCTCCCCCTCCCCCCCCTCCACCACCCCCACAGGCGGAGTTTGCGAGGGCGGAGCAGGAGGAGGAGGAGCGGGCGGTGCAGGAGTGGCGAAGGGCCATTCGGGAGGGGCGCCAGCCGGCAGCAATGCGGTGCAGTGCGGTGGAGGAGGTGCAGCAGGAGGAACGCGCCCACATTCTGGCAGGCCTGGAAGCCATGGGGGCTCAGCTCGAGGCTGCTGCTGCCGAAGCTGAGGTGGAGGCTCGGGCCGTGCGGAAAAGTATTGGGAAATAGGGCCAACTAGGCTAGCCAATCAGATTGGTTAGTTTGATTCAAAGACAAGCCTGAAAGCTGTCCCTTAGAGAATCTGTGCAGTGTAGCCCTCAGCATGGAGATGACATTTTGCGCTCTCACGCCGCGAGTCTTTCCAGGTTGCCTGCTACTGTGTCTTGTTGACGGGAGTTTAGAGCTCTCAAGATGGTTCTGTCCATAAATGCGTCTGGCCTCTGCAGCATGGCCAAGAGGGCAAGAGAAGAGGCACAGCTCCTTTGGTATTCTTAAAGTGCGGCAATCAGGGAGCACCTCCTTGTGCTCTTTAATAGCGCACGCCCCTCACGCTCGCTCCACCCCTGGTGTGGTGTGAGTGTACCATATATCCTTCACCATCAGTGCTTGCACACTGCATACTTGCTCTCATGTAGTACTACTGTAATCCTTTGCCTTGCTCAATTCCTCGCATGCCACCTTGCATATGGGTCGCTCAACAATGCAAGTACATTATTGGTATGAGTCGAAGATACTACCTACTGGCATCTCATGACGTAAGCTATATTGTGTCCAATGCAGCAGACCCGTGTGTGCGGTGCTGGTGCACAGGTGCATGGATGAGGTATCACAGCACCTGCCACCACTTCACGTGCCATGCCAATGTTTCTCACCCGTTCCTGCTCTCGTCCGCATGCATGTATCTACAAACAGCATCGTTAGCACAGCAGGGGCTCCTGTCCAATGAGCTGACCGTCCTTGCTTGTCAGCATGAGCATGAGCATGAGCATGAGCATGAGCATGGCAGCACGTGAGGCACAGCCGGCCATGACTCATCAAGTGGTCTTGAGTGCCACCATCATGGCCTTGCGCAGACACGCCCCTGCCGCTGCTATCACACCACCCACAGCTGATGGGGCTGCAGCTGCGCCATCCTGCTGCTGCGCGTCACCCTGCCATGGCGAGGGAGGGGGGGGAGGGGAAGCAGTGAGGTGCCAGACAGCACGATGCCACGAGCTTGAGCTCAGAGCTCCAAGGGACGTGGTGAACCGGAGGCACCCAGCAAGGGACGTGGTGAGCAGTGCATTCAGAGCTTTCATCTTGAGCTCAGCAGCAATCTTGAGCTCAGCAGCAATCTTGAGCTCAGCAGCAATCTTGAGCTCAGCAGCAATCTTGAGCTCAGCAGCAATCTTGAGCTCAGCAGCAATCTTGAGCTCAGCAGCAATCTTGAGCTCAGCAGCAATCTTGAGCTCAGCAGCAATCTTGAGCTCAGCAGCAATCTTGAGCTCAGCAGCAATCTTGAGCTCAGCAGCAATCTTGAGCTCAGCAGCAATCTTGAGGTCAGCAGCAATCTTGAGCTCAGCAGCAATCTTGAGCTCAGCAGCAATCTTGAGGTCAGAGCTTTGATCGCACGCACACAGCACAACCAAGGGGCGTGGTGAGCTCACCACGGCGGTGGAGAGCAGCGAGAGCAGCTGCTGCTTCTCCTCGCCTGACTGCGCTGTGTGGGGCAGCTCCACGTCAGCCACTGCCAGGTGGCCGCCCGGCATTGGCCAGTCGTTGCAGGCAGTGAGCGTGAGTGTGGCCCCGTTGGCCCACTTGACCTTGAAGGCGCTCTCCCCCGCCATCTCCACCATGTACCTGCGCTCCATGGGGCATGCGGGATGCGGTGATTGGGAGAGAGGATAGGCGAGGAGACGAGGGTAGGTGAAGATACAAGGAACAGGGGGAAAGAAAATGAATGCTCTTCACATGAAGGTTCTTGAGTTTGTTGAGCAGAGGAAGGATGGAGTGCAAGTGGCATACCGGGGAGGGAAGGGCGCGGTGGCGAGGGCATGAGCCATGTGCGCCCGGCGCAGCACCAGCAGGCGCAGCACACACGCCGCCTCCGCCACCGCTGCCGCCACGGGCACTCGTGCTCCCCCTGGGGGCTGCTGGTGGGCCCCTGTGGCGCTGTGAGAGAGGCAGAGAGGGGAGACGCATGCGGTGTGGCGTGGTGCAGAGGCACCGGGTGGGCCCATGCCATGCCATGCCGTGCCGTGCCGTGCCGTGCCGTGAAAGCAGAGTCCAGGTGTGTGCATGGGAGAAGAGGAGGGGGCTCATGGCACGGCACTGCATGGCACGGCATGGTATGGCATGGCACGACATGGCACGGCATTGCACGACATCGTATGATACGGTATGGCATGGGAAGCGCACCTGTGAGCAGCATGGATGGAGGGGTGCAGAGGGAGCGAGCGGTGGGGGAGTCCTGGGGCGTGCTGCAGGGTTGAGAGGGAAGGGCGGACGGGAAGGGGGGTGATGGCATGTCGATGAGAGGAGAGGTGCGTGCAGAGCACATGAGGAGATGGGGAGGAAAGGGCGCATGGGAACTGGATGTGCATGCAGTGGCAATGGGGACAATGAAATAATCTAGCAATTTATACGTATATATACAAATATATGTTTCCAGGGACGAAACACAGCAGGTGGGAGGCTAAGTGAGGGCGTCGCACTGAAAGGTGAGGAAGAAGACAGGCAGGCAGCGGATCGGAGGAGGAGAGGCAGGGGGCATTACAGGCAGCGGAGAAAGGTGACTCACAATGGATGCAGCAGCAACGCGGCCCCCAGGCAGCACAGCCACCTCCACTGTCGCACTGCCCTCCTCCCCCATGCTGCTCTCCCCTGCACTGCCCCACACCATGCCAGGCAGCCCTGCCTTCCCGGTGGCAGAGGCACACGCGCGTGCTGCTGCACTGCCTGATGCGGCTGGCTCACGCTCTCGCTCAAGTGAAGGGCTCGGAAGAGAGTGGGCGGTGGGGAGGGGGAGGCGCAGGGAGAGGGAGCGGGCAGTCTGTGCCGTGAGGGCGGCGGGGCACAACAGCTCCGCCAGCTGCTGCACTGCTGCCTGCGCCTCACTGCCTTGCTCTGCCGCCTGATGGGTGCTGCTGCCACTGATGGTGGTGGCGGTGCTGGTGGCAGTGGTGGGCGATGGGCTGGATCGGGGCGAGGGGCGAGCAGGACAATGGATGGGTGGAGGGGGAGGGGAAAGGGCGGGCAAGGGTAGGGTTGAATGATAAGGTTGAAGGCTTCAAAGGAGAGTGCAACGGAATGAGGAGAGGAGGAGGGTAGACAGAGCAGAAAGTTTGGCAGGAGGGAAGGGCAAAGGATGAGAATGAGAGCAAGAGAGCATGCAAGTGCAGTTCCTACCCATTGGCGCCTGAGGCAGTGCGTGGCGTGCTGCCAACTCCACCCACGCACACCCACTACCACACCACCCACGCACACCCACTACCACCCATGGACACCCACTACCACCCATGGACACCCACTACCACCCATGGACACCCACTACCACCCATGGACACCCACTACCACCCATGGACACCCACTGCCCCACGCACTCCCTGGGTGGCATCAACTCACCCGGCGCTCCTCGTGCGCCCCTCTGTGGGGTGGCGCTGCTCCTCTCTCTGCATGGGGAGGAGGAGGGTGCAGCAGAGAGGAGAAGTGGTGTGAGGCGCACGTGCAATGAGGCGAAAGCATGGGAGACACGGGGGACGTGTGGGGAAGCGAGAGGCAGCAGCGGCCGTGTCTCACCGCTTGTGTGGCAGCAGCAGCAGCAGCAGCAGCAGCAGCAGCAGCAGCGTTGATGTGCGAGGAGAGCCCCTCAGCGACGGCGCAGCGCTGCAGCGACGCCGCCAGTTCTGCCTTCACACGGGTGAGCGCCGCCACTTGCGCCGCCTGGTGGTGGGCGTGACGAGAGGGGAGAGGGGCGAAGGGAATGGTGGTGTGAGCAGCAGGGTGATAGACTGCTTGGAGGAGCGGGTGGAGGTGGGGTTAAACGGGGAGTGAGATGGCGGGAGGGTAGGGAGGGTGAAGGCTGGAGGAATGAACAGCCGCAGGAGTGCGAGCAGCAGGCAAGCGAGATGCAGGTATAACACGGTGAGATGAATGAATGGTGTGGCTGCCTGGTGAACGTGGTGAGGTGATGTGGCGCATGATCGCATGGTGGCGAGATGTGGAGAGAGATGTGGCAAGAAAGGCGACGGCCAATGAGGATGGTGTATGGTGCGGTGCGGTGGCATGGCGCATGGTCATGTGGTGACGAGGTGAGAGTGGAAGAGTGAGCCGGCCGGGCGGTCATCGTGCAACCCACTGCTTCCTCCACCTCGTCCCTGCACTTCCACTGTCCCAGCTTTGCGTCTGCTGCCCTTACGCTGTTGCCATGCCAATGGCCAATCTCCTCCAATCTGACACTCTGCTCCTACCCACCAGCACCCCTCGTGCCCACACCCTCCCCTCATCCAAACACCCTTGCGCCCACACCCATCCCGCACCTCGGAGTGCTCGCCCTGTGCGCTGCACGTGGCCTGCCCCGCCGCCCCCTCCGTTTGCTGCAGCGCCGCCTCTGCCGCCTCCAGCGCTGCCAGCTACAGGCGCAGAGGGGGGAGAGGAGCCGCGGTCAGGGCGGAGCAGCGAGCAGTGGAGCATGGGGAAGTGGAGCAGGGGGAAGTGGAGCACGGGGGAAGTGGAGCAAGGGGAAGTGGAGCATGGGGGAAGTGGAGCAAGGGGAAGTGGAGCATGGGGGAAGTGGAGCAAGGGGAAGTGGAGCATGGGGGAAGTGGAGCAGCGAGCAGAGGCCAATGGAGCAGAGGCCAATGGAGCAGAGGCCAATGGAGCAGAGGCCAATGGAGCAGAGGCCAATGGAGCAGAGGCCAATGGAGCAGAGGCCAATGGAGCAGAGGCCAATGGAGCAGAGGCCAATGGAGCAGAGGCCAATGGAGCAGAGGCCAATGGAGCAGAGGCCAATGGAGCAGAGGCCAATGGAGCAGAGGCCAATGGAGCAGAGGCCAATGGAGCAGAGGCCAATGGAGCAGAGGCCAATGGAGCAGAGGCCAATGGAGCAGAGGCCAATGGAGCAGAGGCCAATGGAGCAGAGGCCAATGGAGCAGAGGCCAATGGAGCAGAGGCCAATGGAGCAGAGGCCAATGGAGCAGAGGCCAATGGAGCAGAGGCCAATGGAGCAGAGGCCAATGGAGCAGAGGCCAATGGAGCAGAGGCCAATGGAGCAGAGGCCAATGGAGCAGAGGCCAATGGAGCAGAGGCCAATGGAGCAGAGGCCAATGGAGCAGAGGCCAATGGAGCAGAGGCCAATGGAGCAGAGGCCAATGGAGCAGAGGCCAATGGAGCAGAGGCCAATGGAGCAGAGGCCAATGGAGCAGAGGCCAATGGAGCAGAGGCCAATGGAGCAGAGGCCAATGGAGCAGAGGCCAATGGAGCAGAGGCCAATGGAGCAGAGGCCAATGGAGCAGAGGCCAATGGAGCAGAGGCCAATGGAGCAGAGGCCAATGGAGCAGAGGCCAATGGAGCAGAGGCCAATGGAGCAGAGGCCAATGGAGCAGAGGCCAATGGAGCAGAGGCCAATGGAGCAGAGGCCAATGGAGCAGAGGCCAATGGAGCAGAGGCCAATGGAGCAGAGGCCAATGGAGCAGAGGCCAATGGAGCAGAGGCCAATGGAGCAGAGGCCAATGGAGCAGAGGCCAATGGAGCAGAGGCCAATGGAGCAGAGGCCAATGGAGCAGAGGCCAATGGAGCAGAGGCCAATGGAGCAGAGGCCAATGGGGCAGAGGCCAATGGGGGGTGGGGGAATGGAGGATGGGGCAGTGGAGAAGCGAGCAGCAGAGCAGAGGCCACCGCAAGAGGCGCACCTCGTTGGAGAGCGCGCTGAGCTGGTCGCCCAGATGGAGCTCCTCCATCCTCTCCTCTTCTGCCACGTGGACCAATGGGGCGCAAGGGTGGGAGGTGGGGAATCGGAATGTGGGTACAAGCATACAGCATGGCTGCACTGGCGGCGATGCCATGCAGCACACATTGCCATGCAGCACACATTGCCATGCAGCACACACTGCCATGCAGCACACATTGCCATGCAGCACAAATTGCCATGCAGCATACATTGCCATGCAGCACACACTGCCATGCAGCACACATTGCCATGCAGCACACATTGCCATGCAGCATACATTGCCATGCAGCACACACTGCCATGCAGCACACATTGCCATGCAGCACAGATTGCCAGCTGCATGGCATCGCCACTGCTCACCTTGCCACACAATGCCATGCAACACACATTGCCAGCTGCTCACCTTGCCCCAGCTGCTCGCACGCCTGTCGCAGGGCGTCGCACCTCTCGTCTGCGATCGCCTGTGCGTCGCAGTTGGCCGCCTTGAGCTGCCGCCATGCCGCCTCTGGTGGTCGCAGGGGATCAGCGCATACAACGTGCCAGGTTCAGGAAGATAGAATAACGAGAGATGAGGGGGGGAGACAAGGGGGGGGTTTCGAGGGGGAAAGTCGAAGTCGAGGGGGGAAGTCGACGGGGAGGAGTCGAGGTGGTGAGACGTGGCGGAGAACCGAGGGGAGGGGACTAGGACGGAAAGACAGTAGGTGAAGGATGCGGGGTGGGATGACAAGCGAGTGGCTCGTCAGTCCGCGTCACCCGCTACGATGTCTCGTGTCTCGTGTCTCGTGCCTCGTGCCTCGTGCCTCGTGCCTCGTGTTCGCTTGCTCAGTGTTTCGCAGCGCGCCTCATTCTGGCAGTGCGTCGCTGAAGCGCTGCGGACGACGTCGCCCGCCATGGACGACGAGAGCTGCGACGACGCCTCGCAGCTATGCGAGCATGCGACCCGTCGCACGGCAGCAGGGCAGCGCGTACTCTCTCGCGCCTCTCCGCTCACCAGCATCGCTCCTCTCTGCTCACCAGCATCGCGCCTCTCCGCTCACCAGCATCGCTCCTCTCCTCTCACCAGCATCGCGCCTCTCCGCTCACCAGCATCGCTCCTCTCTGCTCACCAGCATCGCGCCTCTCCGCTCACCAGCATCGCTCCTCTCCGCTCACCAGCATCGCGCCTCTCCGCTCACCAGCATCGCTCCTCTCCGCTCACCAGCATCGCGCCTCTCCGCTCACCAGCATCGCGCCTCTCCGCTCATCGGAGTCGCGCCTTTCCGCTCACCAGCATCGCTCCTCTCCGCTCACCAGCATCGCGCCTCTCCGCTCACCAGCATCGCGCCTCTCCGCTCACCAGCATCGCGCCTCTCCGCTCACCAGCATCGCGCCTCTCCGCTCATCGGAGTCGCGCCTCTCCGCTCATCGGAGTCGCGCCTCTCCGCTCATCGGAGTCGCGCCTCTCCGCTCATCGGAGTCGCGCCTTTCCGCTCACCGGCGTCGGCGAGGCTGCCCGGTAGCTCCCACGAGTCCCGCAGCAGCAGCGGCCCCGAGTCGCCCAGGTAGCGCAGCAGCGCCGCGCTCACGCCGCTCTCCACGAAACTCGTCTTCAGCCCCTTCACTGCCGCCTGTCGAAACATTCCATACAGGGTACAGAAATCGAAGCATTCAGAGTCCACGATTCAGGCGCGCATGAGAGATGACGATGGCGGAAGAATGATAGCGGACGCGCAGCGTGATGAGCGGAGAAGAGAAACGACCAACGTGCAAGGTGCAGGTGCAGCGTGCAAGGTGCCGGTGCAACGTGCAAGGTGCCGGTGCATTCTTCAAGCCTATTCCCCTCTTGCCCACCTGACCGCTGACCTCACGCGACTCCACGGCGCCATCCGCGCTCGCTTGCGCGGCCTTGAGCCGCTCCTCGCGCTCTCTGCGAGGTCGCACATGGCGAGGGGGGGGACGGGAAGAGCGTCAGTGGGGAATGAAAAACGACGTGGAACAGCAGCGACGCCGGAAGCGACAGCGCGAGCTGAACGGAGAAGCGATCAACAGGCGGAGCAGCGGCGCGGCAGAGCTGCGGTGGCTGACTGCGCGACGGCGACTAAGTGGTCCGCGGGGAGAGCGAAAAAGGGGAGAACGAAAACGGCGAAACGACATATCCTGAATCGAGGCTGAATAAGGGCCGGAATTGAACGACATGGCACGGAGGAATATGCTTGAAGTTCCTACGTCGTCAGCACAGTAAGTTCGTTCGATATGTCTTGCAACGCGCGCTTCTGAACATCGCCCATCCTGCGTATGTCGCTCGTGCGCTGTTTGGATGAAACTAGTTTCTTTGCGAACGGAAGGAAAAACTTGCACTATCGGTACTTGCGCGGTAAGATACGACGTGTGCGGGAGCGAATAGGATAGTGACGGAGACCTAGTGATGAGAGTTGTTCCTGGTGAACCTTGGGATGGTGAAGGCAATCCTGGCGGCCCAGCGAGGGAGAAACGGAGCAATCGGAGCAGCACTTGGCTCACTTGCGCGCGTCCCTCGATCTCATCTCACCCACTCTGCCTATGCTCTGCCCCCAACTGTGCTCGCGCCTCGAGGTCCTCAGGGGTTTGAAATGTGTGCGTCAGTCTGGCGGGAAGTACTGTGTTAAGAGTTTCACCGGTACTAGACAGAGTGAGCGGAAGACTTCTATAGAGAGAATGAATTAGAGAATGCCGAATAGAGTAAAGGAACATGCATTTATAGGGTCGAAACCGTGCTAGGCGAGGACTTCGGGATGTGGTTGGCTCGGAAATGTCGCGATTAGTGATGGGCGACTCGGATTCGGTTCGGTGCGAAAGTGTAGGCCGAGCCATCCTGACGCGAAGTGCTCGGGCTGTCCTCGCTAGGAGCAGCCTCTACAGTAATGAATGTATATTCATTACACTCTCCCACCTTCTAAATAAGGTGCCCTTGTACGTAGCCGAGTCTTGCAGTAGCGTGAAAACTGCCGATCTCGGATGAATCTGATCCGACGGTGTAGAAAACTAGTTGACTTTCATGCTGACGCGAGGCTGACTAGTTGACCAAGCGAATTTTGAAAAGTTGGAATGTCAGCCGTCGATGTTGATCGTGCGGTCGTGACGCTGACGATGTTGGCGAAAGTTCTGACACGCTGTCAGATGTCAGTGAATCGGGAACCGTAGATGCTGATGAAGCCATCGCGAGCGTCCGTCGTGCTGGATTGTCAGACGAAACTGTCAGAAAACTGACAAGTACAGAGCTCTCTCTCCCCCCCCCTTGAAGAAAAGGGTAGACCATAGCGTAGGACGGCTGCGCGGGCAGAAACTTCAGCAATCCTGTCAGCCGGGGGTAATCCGAAATACCAAGTGTCATGAACCCCTTCGAAAATTTAGCAGCTGCACTAGCCAAGACGTTGTCGGTGGCGGAACTGCAAAATCTTGACTCGTAAACCTCCCCAGGGTAAACCGCTTCGAAGTCCGTTGAGTAGGACGCTTCGAAGTCCGTTGAGTTGTCCAAGATCGTTGGGCGCTTGGACTCGAAACCTCCGAATGAAACTAACGACGTGTTGCGACCCAGCCGGGTTGGGTCGGGTCGGGTCGACCAGGTCGGGTAGACCCGACCCTGTCGAGAGAATCAGGCAAGGTTGGATTGACTATCGAGAGTTTGGTACAAAATAACACAACCCTAAAGTGTTATCCCCTATAACATCTACCCCACTACAGCCTACCAATATATATCACACATATATATCATTTGACACACCCCCATAGGCAAAGTGGGGGAGAGCAACGGGTCACAAGACCAGTCAAGAGAAGCAAAACAAGCTCAGGGTGGATCACAACGTCACCACACATTCTGAGCACAAGCAAATGGCCACAAGGCCAGTTCACATGCAGAGATATATATGAAGCAATGACAGTACAGTGATGGCTACCTAGCAAGAGCCAGCATACAGGTATATATGTATATAGATCACAGTACAAGCAAAGACTACAGCAAGTGTGGAAGCGTAGGCACAAGGCCTAACAGAGTACAAAAGCGCTGATGATCACCAGACGGAAGTGCCTTGGTGAATATATCAGCAGTGTTGGCCCGAGTGGCCACGTAACGAAGACAAAGCTGGCCTCGCTGCTGCAACTCTCGAGCCAGGAAGTAACGCAGAGCAATGTGCTTCGTTCTATGCTCCAGTCTGTGCTCCTCACACAAGGCAATGGCGGCCTTGTTGTCAACGTACAGCACTGGAGGAGAACGAGGCTGCTCTCCCAAGTCAGTCAGCAGGTAGGTGAGCCAGCGTAACTCCTGTGCAGCCATGGCGGTGGCGTAGATCTCAGCCTCACAACTGGAGCCGAGAACTGAAGACGAGCGTGTAGAACGCCACGAAACTGAACCAGAGCCAAGGCTGAAGGTGTAACCCTGTGACGACCGCTGAGTAGCCAGGTCGTCAACCCAAGAAGCGTCTGAGTGCCCAGTGAGTACAACCTCACTCGTCCCTCCAAGCACTAGCCCCATGCCTGATGTGCTGCACAAGTAGCGCAGTACCCTCTTAGCAGCAGCCATGTGCTCAGGTCGGTGTCGACCAGGAGCCACGTAGCGAGCGAGGAGACCAAGAGGGTACGCGAGGTCAGGTCGAGTGCAAGTCATCAGGTACATGAGGCAGCCGACTAGCTCTGGGTAAGGACCACTCGGCTCTACGGACCAGGTGAAGCCGAAGCGCTGAAGGACCTGCTGCACCATGTGTGACTGAGTCAAGGTGATGGTGCGGCGTGCTCTGTCCCGGGTGATCTGCAAGCCAAGGTAGCTGCGCAGCTCACCCAAGTCAGTGCACGTGTGTCTCTTCTGCAGCTCCGACTTCACGTGGGCGAGAGCCTCAGTGTCAGCAGTGGCAAAAACCAAGTCGTCGACGTACATGAGGATGTAGAACGGCGGCAGTGAAGTGTCGGTGCGCAGAAACAGCGACGGGTCAGCAGTAGAAGGCGCAAACCCAAGAGCCGCAAGCGTAGTCCTCAGTGTGTCGTGCCACTCACGTGGCGCCTGGCGGAGACCGTAGACCGGCCGCCGGAGGCTCCACTGGGTGCCAGGAGGGAACGACCCAGTGAAGCCCGGGGGGCGGCGCAGCCAGATCTCCTCGTGCAGGCTGCCCTGTAAGAAAGCAGTGCTGAAGTCAAGAGAGTGAAGCTCGTAGTCACGGTGAGCAGCAACGTGCAGCAGCACCCGAAGAGTGGTCATCTTCGGGGTGGGGGAGAAGGTCTGGAAGAAGTCAACCCCCTCTCGCTGACTGAAGCCTCGAGCCACGTAACGCGCCTTGAAGACAGGCGGAGAACCTGGCGGCCGCTTCACCCTGAAAATCCACATGCCACTGACGATGTTCGCCCCAGGTGGGGGAACCTCGTCGACATAGGTGCCTGTAGACTTCCAGGAAGCCATCTCTGCGTCCATGGCTGTCTGCCACTGAGAGGAGTAGGGACTCTCTATCGCCTCTGCGTAAGAGCGCGGAGTCGGGATGTCTGGTGCATCCGGGTCTCCCTCAGGGGCAAGTAGCGAGGACACAAGATGAGGTAAAGCAGCAGCAAGACACTGGAACTCCTCCTGCCTGTCCTCAAGGACGTCCGTGCTAAGAGCACACTCACCCCCGACGGACGGAGGACAGACAGACGCAGACTCAGCAACAAGACTGGCGGCGTAGTCTAGACGACAGGCAGCAGCAAAGTCAACAAGCTCAGCGACAAGAGCAGACGCAGCAGTAGACTCAAACGACGGGTCAGTGACAACAGTGGCTAGCAGACGCGTGACAGTAGGGTGGTCAGCACGAAACCGGTCAGACTCAGGGTCTGGAACGTCAGGTAAAGAGGACGCAGGAGGAGACGGCAGAGGAACAGGCTGCAGAGCAGAGGAAGGACGACGAACTACGAGGTGTGCGCGGGGGACAGCCGGCTGACGCGAACGAGGAACACGACGACCGGTACGACCAGGACGAGCAGGCGAGACAGGACGCGACACAGGCTCACGACGCTCAGCAGGACTACCAGTCTGCTCAGTGTAAGGAGAAGGAGCAGGCAGCGGTGAGCCAGGCTGTAACGGAAGACCAGTAGACGACGGGAGAGTAAGAACCTGACGAAGAACAGAGTCAGACGGCGGCAGAGACGACGGAGACGGCGGAGCGAAGAACAGTCGTGTCGGCGCAGCTGCATCAGTACCGGCAGCTCCAGCAGCTCCAGTGCCTCCAGCAGCTCCAGTACCTCCAGCAGCTCCAGTACCTCCAGTAGCTCCAGAAGCTCCAGTCCCAGAGCCGACACCTCCAGTCCCAGGGTCTCCACCCTCTGTGTCTCCAGCAGTAGCACCCCCAGAACCAGCACCTCCAGTCCCAGGGTCTCCAGCCTCAGTGTCTCCAGCAGCAGCACCCCCAGAGCCAGCACCTCCAGTCCCAGGGTCTCCAGCCTCAGTGTCTCCAGTACGAGCACCTCCAGAACCAGCGACTCCAGCACCTCCAGTAGACAAAGGTCCAGCACCACTCCTAGCTCCAGC